CCCCAAAACCCCAAAACCCCAAAACCCCAAAACCCCGATTAGCATAAAATATCTCATTTATAAAAAAGATAAAATGTTAATAAATAATCAAGAATTTCCTCCAATTATAGATGAAGCAAGTAAAGAATTAGCCACCATCATTTACAATTATATCCAAACTATCTTAGTTTCAATACAATTTACTATTCTTTTTGTTTTAAGCATTCTTTTATTCGTTTAAAAGCACATAAGGATGGACAAATTTACAACTTGCATTACAATAGCTATAATCACTGAGCATTTTTGTAAACTCATTAACTTTCCTTTCTTTTATCATAATTATTGAATTTCTAATAGTTACTCTGCTAATTCAAATTTTACATGTTGTGGGGGTGGACAAAGTTAATCTTAGAGGAGGCCTAATAACTATGGAGTATTCCTCTCAATTTCTGATTTATTCAAGTTTCGTGTTTAAAATAAGTGCTGCATTACCTTCTCGTTAAATAAGACAATCCTGTGATTTGCTTTTGAAGTATTAAAAAAACACTGAGAAAAAAATGTTTTATTACATTTTCGGTTATTTAGCAGTCACATTTGGCTATATTGTAGTGTACTATTTATACTCTTGGCCGGACAGACGCTGGATCACGTAAGTTTTAAATATAATTTCATTTTGATTAGATTATTGGGACTCTTTAAATTGACTTTTGATCTCTTAACTTTATACCAATTTGTCCGTCTGTTTGCAAAGTATAGATCATAGTAGAAAGTTTAAAACCATTTTCAATGGGTTGAGTCGGAAAGACTCAGATGTATGGTGGTTTTTGTTTATTTTTATGTTTGTCAAGCTTGGCTACGTACATTTATATAAGATATTATGGGTCCACTTTACTTTTCACATATATTTTTCAATATCCAAAGATTCGGTTCATTAGCTCCATATATTTTTGTTATTTTCTATGATATCTTTAATCAATTGCTAGAGTTTTCAAAATCGCTTATAATATTAGCAGGATTTTACCACTTCTGCAAGGTAGAATCAATAAGGTGCACAAAGACCAGTAGCAATAGTGATTAAACCTTAAATTAGATCAATCCATTAAATAATTCAGCCTTTCAAAAAGATGAAGAAAGTTCAAGTCTTATTTAGAGGTAGGCAAGTGTGTTTGAGAGAGAACAAAGTACAATTAGATAAACTGCATGAGCACTTAATTTTAATTTCATCAATATAAAAGTATAATTATTCCTATAAGAATTAAACTGACTTACTTCAAGGGGTTTTGGGGTTTTGGGGTTTTGGGG